GTGCGTGCGTGCGTGCGTGTGAGAGAGAGACACACAGAGACAGAGAGAGAGTAACCGTGACACTGAGTACGGTAGGAGTGCCTTGACAGCCGGTTACATCTCACCTCCTGTTGTGCATCTCGGCGAATATGCAGCCGCAGCTCCACATGTCGACTGCCGAGGCGTAGCTCTGTTGCAGCAGCACCTCCGGCGACCTGTACCACAGTGTCACCACCTGCAACACGAGAAAACGTGCGCCTTCAATAACACAGAGCCTTCATAACTAACGTAGTGGACTCTACACATGTCCCCCACTAACATACTATCATCTACACGTGCCCTTACTAACACTGTGCCATCTACAACACATGTCATCACTAACACACTGCCCTCTACAACATGTGACCTGACGAACATAGCGCCCTCTACATGTACCCTCACTAACATTTTGCCATCAAAACACGTCTTGACAACAATGTTTAGCTTGATACAACATAAGCCTTCTACTAAAATTCTTACTGAGTTTTACGACGTCAAACGTTTACCCTGCGATCACAAAGCGCACAAAATACTCTACGACACCTTCTACACTCGACACACGTGGAGCCAAATCTAGGCTATCGCTCCATTTATTATGACCATTAATGACATTAAAGTTGGGAACACTCCTAATGGAGTATCACCCCAAATCTACAATCAACACACGGGCAGCTCCTAACATCTCTTTCGTTTTGAAAAAAACCTTTCGAAAAAAACTTTGACCAGGGTTTTTCTGAGGGAAAATTATACAAAGGAGGTAAGGGCCAGTTTCGGAAAAAATAACGCATCACATGACTCAATAAACGCACATGACAATCTAAATATGCCAGAAGCACGTGGCAATCTATTTATTGTTGGGTTGACACTATTTTGACAACGGCGGGTAAATACAGGAACATTTTCGCAACGGCGATGTTAAATTCGACAACGGCGGTGCGCCACTGTGCCTCTCACGTATAAGAAACCCTGTTCACACAATCTACCGCCGGTCCACATCACGACGCGGTTGGCGGCAGCGCCGGCAGGGGGCGCCACCGAGCGACTGGGATACTTACGACGGACGTGAGCACCATGGAACAGCTGTAGACGCGCGCGAGGCCGAAGTCTGCGATCTTGAGGCGGCCGGCGGTGGTGACGAGCAGATTCTGCGGCTTGAGGTCGCGATGGACGATGCGATGCGTGTGCAGGAAGTCAACGCCCCGCAGTAGATCCTCAGTTAGGTCCTGAAGAGAAACACGTAAACATGTAAACACTTAAACACGTAACGTGTAACGCATAAGACGTAGGACATAAGGAACACGTAAACATGTTCTATGGCTTGAGGTGGCGGTGGACGATGCGGTGCGTGTGCAGGAAGTCAAGTGCTCAGTAAGGCCCTGCGCGACAACGAGAAACACGTAAACATGTAAACACTTGAACACTTGAACACGTGAACACGAAAACACTTAAACGCATAGCAAATAATATATATATATATATATATAGTAATACGTAGGTAAGTGGTGCGTAGCCCAAAGTTGTTAACAAGCCAGATAAAAAAAAGCAGCCAGTGATTACGTCACGAATTTTCTATGGTAAAATTTGTAAAAAAAAAATCTCCCGATTTTTTACATAACAGTAAGAACAACGGACTACAACGTATCGTGCGACGGGTCTCACTTCTAGAATCGGGTATAATTCTAGAATCGCGCAGCCGAGTTGCATGAAAAAGTCGCAAGTCTGCTTAAAGGAAGAAACAAAACTTTTCAAGCGAAGAAACAAAAAGACATATGTGTGAGTCCGTCGTCGCACGCCCAACGTTTCTCACCCTGATTCTCTCCGGCGGCACGCCCGTCGAAGGACAGCCCTTTCAGGTACATGTCCCAGGTCCTGTCGTATGTATTCGAAGACGAGAAACACTCGCCGCTCGTTCGCGCACGCCTTCCCATGGCAGACGTCAAACAACCTGGCAAACAAAGACGGAAAAATCGTGAAATGTAAGCAGCGGCGTCTAAAAAAGCGGAACGCCATCGTGCCCTGCCTACTCATCAGCAAGTTTTTATCACAGCTAATTCATATGGCAGGTATCCCCAGAATTTTTTAACAGGGCAATAGGCAACTGGGCATCTTTTTAACCTGGGCAATAGGCACTGGGCATGGAATTTTCAACAGGGCAAGTAGCAACCTGGGCATCGCATTTTCAACAGGATCAACTAGGCAACTGGGCATGATTTTTTAACAGGGCAAGTAGGCAATTGGCATCGATTTTTAACTGGGCGCAATAGGCAAACTTGGCAATCGATTTCTTAACTGGGCCAATAGAGCAATCTGGGCAATGATTTCAACAGGAACAAATGGGCAACTGGGCCATGATTTTAACTTGGGGCAATGGCAATTAGGGCATTGATTAGGGGCGACTAGTACGGCGACTGCAATGATAAACGATTCGACAACCCTGCGTTATTGCATATGCGTACCCGCCTTCTGTGCGATCTCTACCCCGGTGGAGTCTACCAGACGCTCACGCAGCCCCTCTATAATGCACACACGAGCACACACCACAGCACCCACGCACCACCGCACCGCCACCGCACCGCACGCACGCACCGCACCGCAACGCAACTCGCACGCACAGCACGCACGCACGCCACGCACCGCGCACGCACAGCACGCTACGGCACTGGCACGCCACGCACGCACGCAGCGCCACGCACGCACGGACGCACGCGCGCACGGCCCCACGCAGACGCACGCGACGCACGCCACGAGCAGCGCACGCACAGCCACACACCGCACCACCACACCCCACACACACCACCCCACACACAGCACACACACACATCACACACGCACCTGGCTAACTCATCTCTATTTCTATGTCCTAGCCGGATTTATTATTATCTTATTTATTATAACCTCATTTATCTATACCGTTATAACGGACACGCAATCGTGCATCAATAAAACATCGAATAATAAATATGTTGATGTCGGCGGCTTCTTCTAGC